CATGGCGTGGCAGACCTCTCCTGACCCGCCCGCTGCTCCCCTCAGCAGTGTACTTCGTCGATCTGCCTGTTCTGCTCCCCATTCTGTCCCTGGTGAATCTGCTCACCCTCCGCATCTCTGTCCTGTACCCCCAGTTCTGTATGAATAAATAAATCTTTTTTTAAAAAAAAATAAACCTTAAAAAAAAGAAACATTTACACCTGCTGAGTTATAACTTAATTTCATCAATTTTAAGTGTGCAAGTGGACAAATAGCCTCCTCCACAAAAAATGATAGACTATCTCGCCTCCGTGCCTTTAAAAAACTTCCACATGCCCCTTTGCAGTCAGTCCCCACCCGGTCTCTAGCTTCTAATGTCTGATCTGCTTTCTGCCCTATTGTTTGGCTTTTTGTAGAATTTCATATATATTGAACCACGTATACATTCTTTTGTGCTTTGACATTCATCTGTCTTGTTACTTGTATCAGTAGTTCATTCTCTATATCCAGCATTAAGATTCCATTGACTACAGTAAAGTTTTTAACCATTTACTTTAGGGCTGCAGTGCACTCTTGGCCAGAGGGAGCCTCTCCAAGCTGGCCTCTTTCCTTTTGGCATATCTTTGAAACTTTTGCTTTCTACCACAATAGGATTTTCCACGCTTATCTTGTGTCTTCTTTGCCTCTGACTTTTCTCGAGAAGGATGATAATTTAGAAACTAAAATCTGGGTCCCCTTTATCCATTTTAGTCAAATTAAGGGAGAAAGCATTAATTAACTTAGTGAACTATTATGTATTGAGCAGAAGAGTATTTTATTTTAGAGTTTGAGTTCTGGATAACCTTAGATCTGCACTGAAATCCTGATTGCCAAGAATTTATTCAAGGACTTTGGGCTAGTTAATACATCACTTCAAGCCTCAGTGTCTCTCTGAAAAACGGAGATCAAAGCACTACAGCTGAAGGTTATTGCAAAGAGTAGAAATTACAAGGACTTCTAATTAGTGCAGCACTGCCATGTAGTAATAACCCAAATACTGCTGACAAGAGTTTTTATACAAAGTACTATTTCTAATACCCTGAAGGAGAAAAAGATTAATTTTAGTGTTCCATATTGGAAGTTCAGCATACTCAAAGTAGTTGGACTGTGAGTGGATTTTAATTTGTTATTTTTCTAAAACCAAAAGACTGCTTTCTTTTTAGAATGCTGGAGAAAAAAAGCTTACTCCTTGTAGGACTTTATATTGGTTTGTTGACTAATCCGTTTTGCTTTATGATTCATGTTTTAAATACTATGTTGTTTATAAAGAGAAATAAATCTTTTTATCTCACTATTTTTAGGAGCTTTGCTGGCAGTAGAACATGTGAAAGACAATGTCAGCATTTCTGTTGAGGAAGGGAAAGAGAATATTCTTCGTGTGTCTGAGTAAGTGTTTTCATATGTTTGTTTTCAGTACTGACAGTTTTTAAAAATACCCAGGATTAAATAAATATATGCCTGCTGTACTTACCAATTGGTAGATTGTCTCTGAGAGTATGGTGCTTTCTTCTTCATTCTAAAAGAACTATATAACCAGAATCTCCTATTTGTCAGCAAGCTATTTCTTCTTCATTCTAAAAGAACTATATAACCAGAATCTCCTATTTGTCAGCAAGCTATTAAAAGAAACTAGAAATCTGCAGAAAGATTTGATGAGTTTTAATTCCATTGTAATTTATTCTGGTAGAAAATCAGAAGTATTTAAAATCAATAATAATAGAAAATATAGTAAGTCCCAGCATGAAATACGATGCATCTCTAAAAAAGGCTTATGAAGAATGTTTAATGATAATTATGTTCATAATCTGTTGTAAATAATTATCTACATAGACAAATATGTTTGAGAAATGTACAGAACTTTTAATAGTACTTGTTTCTGTGTGATGGAATTGTGGGTGTTTTTAATTCTTCTCTGCTTTGAAATTTTCTGCAGTGGTGATATACTATATGTTCTTTTGGGGGCGGGGAGAACCAAAATCTTATTTGAAGGAAGGGTGTCTAAGTCTGTATGAAAATACAATTGGAATTCTGAGAATAAGTGGTTTAAAATAAGGGGCTCCCTGCTGGTACAAACGCTGTGCCATGTGGGTCAGCTCCCTGGCCAGTGATCAAATTCATGCTGCAGTGGTTGCCAGTAGCTTCATAGGAGTGAGACTTAATTAACCGTTTGTACCAGCAGGGAGGCCCTTATTTTAAATCACTTATTCTCAGAATTCCAATTGTATTTTCATACAGACTTAGACATGTAGAAACCAATAGTGGTGATGAAACATCACATAGTCTATTCTTAGGTGAATTGTTGGGTTAACTGAACATTCCAGATCAAATTGGAACCTTATAGAAGTGAAGTATCAAATTAGGGTTTTTTTTTCATATAGTAGAAATACAGGCTAAATATATTTACGTTTACATTTCTTTTAAGTCTTACGACTAGCACTGATCTGTTAGAACAGCAGTAATATTTTGTCTCATGGTCTAGGAATGTGGTTTTCACGGATGTCAACTCCATACTCCGCTACTTGGCGAGAGTTGCAACAACAGCTGGGCTCTATGGCACCAACCAGCTGGAACATACCGAGGTGAGCATTTTCTTGTGTATATCTTTATTTGACTTATGCTTCTGCTCCTTTGAGAATCTCATCATTTTATTGTTGGTTTATATGCACAATGATTTACATTAAGGGTGTTAAGTGTATTTTATAGAATTCTCATCTTGCTTTTATTTTCAGAAACAAAACTTGTTAGTTTCTAAGTTTAAACTTTCAGTCACCTACTAGTTACCCTGTTGGGATTATTTGTGCTGCCTTCCTAGGTTTGATAGCTGGGTAGGACTATATAGATCATCTTAGGCAACCCTTTACCTTACACACCAGGCACCACGCCTAGAAAAGGCCTTAGTCTGATGTCATGACATTGTGTAGATTCCATTTTCCTTATTTAATTAATTATAGCAGTAACAGATAAGCAGTGATTTTTTCATATGGTGGGGAGAGGTGGGAGAATGGTGTGTTGCTATTTGTATTCAGCTCTTAACTTTTCTATTTCTTAGAAAATTCAAAATACAAAGGCTAGTTTCTAAATGCTGACTTTTTTTTTATAACAGCTTATTGTTACATCATTTTGTAAATTTTTCTTTCTTTTTTTCCATCTTAATTGTAGTCCCCGCGGGTTTCCCATCACCAAGTCACCTGTGTGCCAGCACCATAATCCTGTGCACTTCCCTCCCCACCCCCCCGTTTTTGATCCCATTCCCCACTCCACCCCCACAAAATGTCTCTGGTATATGGTTGTTCATTATTCTTGTTATTTTCTTGCCTGGTTCATTATACTCCTGCTATGAGTGAAACCATCCGGTATCTAAATGCTGACTTTTAATTCTCCAAGGATATGAATTTGTTTGGCCTCAGTACTTCCTGTTGGGTATGTTCAGTTGGTTATCCCTAATAAGTAGTTCTCAATTATTTATTTGTTTTCTTCCCTTAAGTGTTTTTTCATGCTCCATCTGAAACACCAAACACTAGAAAACAGAAAAAGCAAAATGTGTTTACTTCAAGTGCTGATTTTCATCGTAGGCAATCACAAGTTCATATAAAGGAAAGTTCCATAATTTGAGATAAGCAAGGCCTGGCTCTAAATGAGATTTGTTGTTTGCTTGTTTAAATCTAAACTTTGGGGTGCATTTCTTTTCTCTCTTGACAGATTGATCACTGGTTGGAGTTTAGTGCTACAAAGTTGTCTTCATGTAGTCTGTTTACCTCTGCAGTCAACGAGCTCAATCTCTGCCTGTCTCTGAGAACATATTTAGTTGGAAATTCCTTGAGCTTAGCAGATTTTTGTGTTTGGGCCACCCTAAAAGGTATCAATTATTCTTAAAGAATTTTTTGTTTTAATTACTTAACATGTTACTGGATAAGAACACATTTCCACATATACAAGTGTGCAGCCCTTTCTCCATCTATATACTGATATCTATAGGAGGTCACTGTAGACTTTCTTGAGAAGGAGTGACCGTCCTGCCTATTTTATTCCTATCAAGCTGCAGGAATCCTCTGTACACCATTGCCTCTGTTTCCCCCAGCATCCTTCTGCTTTTAGAACTGGTCTTATTCTTTATTTTATTCTATTTTTTTACATCATTCTTTTTGTGCATTTTTTCATCTGAGTTGGTCTTATTCTTAGCAAAGAAGTTCTTATCATGAAGTCACTTATGTTAACCCTTCTCTTTCAGTACTGTTTCTTGTGACTTGCATGTAGCTAGGTAGGTTTATGAGTGGAGACTTATTCTTCTAGAAGATCATTTTTTTCATTACCCATGAAGATTTGGTAGCAGGTAAGGATGTGGGATTGTTGACAGGCACAAAGGGACTTCAATTTTGCTAATTTGTTTCCTTTAAAAACCAACAACAAACCATACTCCTCATCCTGAAATATGCCAAAATGTTTTACTGTTCTTAAATCTAGATTACATGGGGTTTTTCCTAAGTATACTTTTTGTGACTTACAGTTTCCTCCAAATTATTAGTAACCAACATGAAATAACTACCTTTTCTAATTAGACCTTTTTATTTATAGGTTTGTTCATGACATTTTTGTCTTGTTTGATTTTTGATTTAATGTTCATGAAAGGAAGATAGCATTTAGCTTTGTGATATTAAAAAGACATCATCTTTCAGTATTGAATTTTGACATTACATCTGAAAAAAATGTTTTAGTCACAGCAGCATTGATTTATAACATATAGCATCTGGGTGTTAGGTGTACAGCATTATACGGCTCTGTCTGTATACATCATGCTCCCCACCAAACACTGCAACTGCATTCTTCACTAGGTAATAGTCCCCTTTTTCCTAATTTACCTTCCCTTGGTTCCCATCTTAATCCTCTTCCCCCTCCCCTTTTTGTTCTTTGTTATTTTTTTTTTTTTTAAGATTTATTTATGCATACAGTACGGGAGTATAGGCCAGAGGTACAGGGGCAGTGAGAGGATTCACCAGAGATAGAGTAGGGAGCAGAACAGGCAGATCAATGAAGTAAATCACAGAGCCTTTCCTTTATCATGAAATGCAGCGTTGGCTTTTGAGTGGGTGTATGGAAGCAGTGAGGGCTGGATTTAGTGTTCACCTCAGTGAATTGAACTGAGAATTGTTTTGGTGAATTTTGTGAAATATCTCAGTTTCAAACATTTCAATGTATATCTAGTTTTTAAAATTTTCATTATATAGGCACAACTCTAAGCTGTCTCATCTACTTAAATTCACCATGACTGGAACTTCTTTTGAAATTGCAGACTTATGGAATGGTTTTAAAATTGTGTTTGCTAACAGGAAGTGCTGCGTGGCAGGAACAGCTGCAGCAGCATGGCGCTCCAGTGCATGTGAAGCGCTGGTTTGGCTTTCTTGAAGCCCAGGAGGCTTTCCAGTCAGTAGGTACCAAGTGGAATGCTTCAGCGACCAGAGCTAAAGTGGTATGTCTTTTTGCATTTTCTGTAATGCTCACATCTCAGTGTGTCAGAGCTGCTACATCTTAAAAAAAGAAAAAAAAAGTCCTACTCATTTTTCTTTCATGAAATAAAAAGGATCTTCCTGGAAGAATTGTCTTTTGTTAAGACTTAACTGGACTTTAGCTGTTTAATTATAAAAGGCCTCAGTCTCCCTATTTTTGTGTTTAAAAAGTTATTATGATTGAATGTGTGTCTCTTAGGAAATCTGAACTCCAAGTAACTAAGACCTCATTATTTTATAGGTCGATAATCCATTTTTCTGCTCAGAGTTCTATTCTCTGGGTTCTGAGCCTTTGCCCATTTAGCCTTGGACTTCTACAGAGCCTTTTGTTGATACTGTAGGAGGATGTGACAGAGGATGGCAGATAAGGCCTTCCTCTCCAGCCACTTTCTCTGCTTTAATATATTTTATATCTTAAACGTGTGGTAATGTTTTGATTTAAAGGTTTTCAGTATGGTAAAGTTTGAAAACTCCCAGCTTGGATAAAGACATCACAGTCTATTCAGTTATTTGACTAAAAGTCTTCACTCATCTTTTCCACTTTTCACATCTGAACAAATTCAATTTTTGTTTCCCTTATTTATCGATTTGTTTACTCTCTGCATGGCTAAATGCCACAATCTCATGGCCTAGCTTCTTTCTTTGGTTTTTCTTTATTTTTCTACTTATGTTTCTGCATTACCCTGGATATCGTTTTAGCAAATACAAATAGAGAGTCCAGTTACCTTTGAGAAATCCTATTACCTAAGTCACAAAAGCCACGCTTATAATAAAGGTCTTAATGTTTTGTGTCTACTCAGCTGTTTCCACATCCTTGCCCATTCAACTAACATGTGGTCCTTACTGCTCTGCCTTGTCATTGGGTCTTACCTCTGATGGATTCCTTTCTGTAGGATGAATGCCTTATGCACCTTCCATCTTCCACTTAGCTTTTCAAGGTCCTCGTGGACTCTTAGCTTCTTCAGTGTTACCTGATAGTCCTGCATGCCATTAGCTACCCTTAGCTGATGGTTCCGACTGTGCGTGCATATATTTAGACAGGCATATCTCTCTTACTGGTATGTGGTTTTACTTAGCAAGATTTTGAATACTCACATATGGAAATGATGTTCTAGTCATAATTTTTTCCCTTAGCAGACATTGAGTAAGTAATTGTTGAATGACCATCTTCATAAATATTTAATCATCTAACTGCTTTTGTTGTCGTTCTCCTTCTCAGGCACCTGAGAAAAGGCAAGATGTTGGGAAATTTGTTGAACTTCCAGGAGCAGAGATGGGAAAGGTTACTGTCAGATTTCCTCCAGAGGCTAGTGGGTAAGAAAATATAACTTATAACTTATATTTGGCAGGAAAGCTTTAAAATACTTATTAAATATGTGTACTATTAGTAGGTTCATAATAGGCTCATAGAAAAAAATGAAGTTTTAATTGTGGAAGTTGAAATTCTAAATAGCTTAATAGTTTCTTAATTATCAACAGTTAATGTTAGTTTATTAAATTTGTGGTTTTAGTTTACTAAAACATTTGGAGAGAATCAACTTTTTGATTTTACTTTAGACAGAATTTTAATTATAAATCAAAAAACAATCAGTGCAGAGGCTTAGATTTTGTTGACCTTTGGGTATTTTCTGGCTTTCATTTAATAGGGATTTGTATTTGTACCCTGAGCAGGCCTTTTATCCTTTTATTGAGCTGTAGAAGTCAGGTAGAAGTATCTTAAAGTCATTTTTTTCCCCCGAGTTCTGAAGAGGCTCTCTCTATTCGGTTGTTTCCCAACCCATTCACTCCTGTACTCATAGACGATAGTAATACTTGATAGCTCATTAGGGAAGAGACTGTCCTGGCTGGGGGCAGCCAACTGGGGTTCCTCAGGCCTTTTCCAGCTTCCTGGAGTTAAGGGCAAGTGAAACCTACCATAGTACCCACCTCTGCTATGCCCTGGACAGGCAAAATGCCCCTAAATAAAGCAGTCAACCTCATTTAGAAACTTTGCTTTAGTCACATGTTGGGTCACATTTTGTAAGTGAGATATTTACTTTTTTCAGATTTTGCTTATTTTCAGACTTACTGTTTTCTAGTCAAATTCCACCTGTGTGTGGTACTTGGAATATGTAGACAACAGAAAGTAGCAGGTGAGAGAAGCATTTTTAGTGCTGCGTTTACCTGCTGTGCCACCAGAGAGAGCCCAAGAGGAGCATTTTTTTTTAGCTGTATATTTAGTAGTTTTTCACAGATAATTTTGTGTCTCTAACAGCAAAGTCAGTTTTAGAATGCCACCCTTTCACTCTTCTAAGTTTGCAGATTTAGGCAAGAAAATAAAGGGTAGGTAGTAGACAAACAAGGAATACTGATTTTGGAAAGTTCAGACTGAATCATTGAATGATTGAATGGTAGGTGACTGAGTGCTGTCAGTCATAAGTTCTACATGGTTTAATCCCCACAAACATCTTGCCCTCTCCATCATTGCGCTTGGTGTGAGAGGTTGTGATAGTCCCATTGGATGGTGGCTAAAAAGCTGGATTTTGTGTTTTTGTTTAGCATTGACTATAGCTCTGCATTTGCACATTTCTCCTTTTCTTATCTTTTTATATTTTTTGTCACTCATTTCTTGGAATAGTGAACTTGTGTTTATTACATATAGTATGAAATATGTTTATCTGTTCTAAATTAATGTCAATTTTAGAGGCTATGTATGCTCTTTATAAATAAGTTCTAAAACTTGGAATATGAATCAGTGCCTAAGTTTTTAAAATAGTCGTAATTTTGATTGTATTGCCTAAGAAATTATTTTTAACATTTTTTTAATCATTTTTTTTCCTTTGCCTGCATGAAAGACCAGAACGCTTGCATTTTGCCTTTTATTTGCCTTTCGCATTTTATTCTTACTCTTAGTTAACATGCATATAGACCTATAATGTGTGGGTACTATGAAATGCTTTACACACAGTAACCCAGAATCCTATGAGCTCTGTCAGGAAGACCCTTTTGTCTTTATTTTATATATGGTTTTGGAAACATGAATCGTTTTAGCGACTTGACAAACTCAAACATATGTTGTTTAGCTCTAGGGTTCATATAGTTAAACGTTATACAGCCTAGGTCTGTCAATTATGGGAGAAGCCCAATTCAGCATCAATACTAACATAGTACATATGTTGTTTTCTTTAGCACATAGGTTGTCTCTTGAACTGATTAGTTATCTTGTAATTATCTTATTTAACTCTTTTTAGCTTCCTTGTAGTTTAGATCTGTTAGAACAGCATACATTATTTCATTTTTCAGAAATGATACCTTTAGCAACAAGAAAATAACTTAATTTCATCACCCTCCTTAAATTAGTTCCTGTGTGTATAAAGTACACTGTCAAAAAGGAGGTAGTCCTGTTTGCTTGTTTTTTCTCGTTAAGAGTGGGTATAGCATGTTACCACATACAGTACTTTCATTGAAAACTGCATACAGAGGTCTTCCTGGTGGCGCAGTAGGTTAAAGTGCAACACTAAAAAGCTAGCTGCAGCCACAACCACTTCAGCACGAGTTCCATGCCTGAACTGGGAGGTGACCCAAATGGCATGGCAGACCTCTTCTGACCCACCCACTGCTCCCCTCAGCAGTGTACTTCATCAGTCTGCCTGTTCTGCTCCCTGCTCTGTCTCTGATTAAACCTCTCATCTCCCCTGAGCCTCTGGCCTGTACCCCAGTTCTGTATGCATAAATAAATAAATCTTAAAAAAAAAAAAAGAAAGAAAACTACATACTGCATACAATATATTTTTCACAGTCCTTTAGTTTCATTAGTTTTTTTTTTTATTATTATTTTAGACTAGTTTTGTTTGACAGGAATGTTAACTAAAATAGTAAAAAAAAGTCCCCCTACACCAGTTGTCTCAAATTAACATTATATATTATAAAGCAATCTTTGTCACACTTAATGAGCCATATTGAAATATTATTATCTAAATGCCATACATTTTTGATTTCATTAAGGTCTTTTCATGTCCTTTTTCTGTTCTAGGATCTCATCTGGGATTGCAGCTCTTTATTTTATGCAGAAAGTTTTGAACAAACCTAAACACTGCATTATATTTATTTGTACTAACTTGTGCATATAATCTTTTAAAAATTGAATCATTGACCTAGAATGCTGTATGAATTTCTAAAAGTAAATCAATTTAAAAAGATAATATAAAGGCAAAAAAGGAGTTGGACTTTTACTTCCTATTAACAGAGATCATAGGTGCATGAAGATAGTTGATTATAAGACAGCAGAGAACAGTGTAACTTCAGGTAACATTGAAGTTGAAAGAAGTAAAAGTAGTGAGAACAGAGCATTTAAACTTCATGGCTTCAGTACTTTGCTGCCTAATAAATTATATTTTCGGCAGTGGCACTTTAGTATATTGGTTGAGGAGGATGTTGATTTGTAATATTATCAATGCCTCCAATTTATTTCATTCTTTGTAATTGTCATCTGTCCTTAGAATAATGTTTTCGTAGATTGTGATTTGTGCAGGGCTAGGGATGGATGAGATCTTCCCTTGAGATACACTTCTTTTGGCATCTGAGGAAACTGAAGCCCAGAGAAGGAAGCAGAGTGATTTCTCTTTCAGTTAGTCATCTTAGTGACAGTGGCAGTTTCAGAGGCACTTCTCTCTGGTGGGCATTGGGTGGGGGCCCAAGTCTAGTTATACATGCAGCATTAGAAACAGTTGGGAGAGTTTTCCTCTAACTAAATGAGCTCTTTTAAAAAATAAGAAGATGATCCTTTACCAGGTTATAATGTTGGTAATGCTTTGTTCCTTTTTTTTTAATCTGATTTTTATTTTCCATATACCAAATCTTTTTTTTAAGATTTATTTTATTTATACAGAAATGGGGTATAGGCCAAAGGTGCAGGGGTGGTGAGAGGGCTCACCAGAACCAGACTGGGGGGCAGAATAGGCAGATGGATGAAGTACACTGCTGAGGGGAGCAGCGGGCTACACAGGAGAGAGGTCTGCTGTGCCATGTGGATCTCCCTTGGGCAGGGATCGAACTCACATGAGGCACTTGTGGCCAGCTTCGCAGTGCTGCATTTCAACCTGTTGCACTACCAGGGAGGCCCCTGACTTTTTCCTTTGTGAGACTTTACACCTGGAATGGCTTCTTGTGATTATTTTATAAATACTGTTCTTTTTTTCTTCCTGTCTGGGTCAGATTTTCTGTCACCATACATGCTAGAATATAAAATATGACTTGGAGTGCGAAGGATTCTTGTTTAGTTCTCAGCTCCTCAAAAAGGTTAAGTTTAAGTATCTAGTTAAAGCCTGTTAATGAGTTTTTCTGTGAAATGTTTTTGTTTTAGTTACTTACACATTGGGCATGCAAAAGCTGCTCTTCTGAACCAGCACTACCAGGTTAACTTTAAAGGGAAACTGATCATGAGATTTGATGACACAAATCCTGAAAAAGAAAAGGAAGATTTTGAGAAGGTAATTAAAAGGTGTAGTGATGACCCTTTGTCAGAAAAGTTTATTGACATTAGAAGATGACCTGATACCTTTATGGTATAAAAATAAGTTGAAGTTGTTCTCATAAGCTGATTCCCCACCCCCCATACCTCTATATTCTGTATCTGAGGCCTAAGCCAAGAAATAATTGTACCAAAAAGCTTTTAGTTTATTTTTTTCTTTCTCAGTTGCTGTAGAATTTACCTAAGTGCCATATTTTCCTATTAAAAATTCCAATTTCTTAATTGCTCACTAGAGGTCAGGTTTCCTTTTGTCATACAATTTTAAGTTGATGAATGAAATAAACACTTAAGTAGGCATTGAAAAATATGAAGGTTTCCTAGCCTCTTATCCTCTTTATTCAGAAGTACTGCAAAATATTCAGAAAGAGAGCAAATCATTGTTAGAATGCTTGATGATTACCAGCTTTTCCAGAGTAAATGGAAAGCTCCAGCAAAATGTAAATTTGAGGCTAGTGTGATACCTTTTTTTTTTCCTGCTGTGATACCATACAACTTCCAGAATCTTTTCGGGCTATGTAAGACTGATGGTGTTTTATTACATTTGCCCAAATACAATGCCAAGGATTGGAAATACACAAGGCAGTGCAGAAGATAAGCAGATGGTTATTCTACGTTCTTATTGCAGGTTATCTTGGAAGATGTTGCAATGTTGCATATCAAACCAGATCAATTTACTTATACCTCGGATCATTTTGAAACTATAATGAAATATGCAGAGAAGCTAATTCGGGAAGGGAAGGCTTACGTGGATGATACGCCTGCTGAGCAGATGAAAGCAGAACGTGAGCAGAGGGCAGAATCGAAGCACAGGAAAAACTGTAAGGCATATTTTATGTTTGATATATTTTGCTTGTGTTCTGCTTCTTTGGCCAACATGATTTGTTATTTGAAGATTTGACAAAAGTTTGGGAATATTATTCATATTTTAATTCATCTCTTAGAAATCCTGCTTCTTTCCCACCTTCACTTTATTACTACCTTGTGAGCATCGTAACTGTGTGTGACTAGTCTCCCATGTTGTCTCTTGACCTTTGCATTGCGTTCATCCCATTTCAGTGGCTCCCTCTCCATTTTGTAGTTCTCTCAATTTAAATCCTTATCTTTTCTGAAATATTGGATGGTAATTTTTATAAGTACCCCAGTGTTCCTCTTATCAAGTAAGTACATGTGAATATAATCTGTAAGCTTTATGCTACCCTGCATCTCTGAAATATCATGTCACAAAAAAAGTTTTCTGAATTGGGGTTTTTTCTCTGTAGTGGTGCACCAGACTCCCACACTACTCTTTAGTCTCAAATGTCACATTTTGAAATATAGGATATTCAAATTGTTGTTGTTGAAATCTTTTTTCCCCTTGTTGGTAAAGTCTCAATAGTAATTAACAACTGAAGTTTTGGACTCACATAATTCTCTGAGGGCTGGAAAGTACCTGTCCTGTCTTCACTAGTTTCTACATAGAACCACTGTTGAACGGTTTGTAGCCCATGAGGCAGATTGTCAACATCCTGATGTATGCAGGACCATAGTGATTTGGGATATAGAACTTGTTCTCTCTGAGATGGAACCTGTGTCACTCTCTGTTTAGTGTCATCTCCCCTTTGCTCCATCCAAGAATATCCTGCTTTCTTCTGAAGGGGCTTCAAGGGGCTCTCAGCCTTAGCCGTGTTCTTCAGATGAGCACAAGCTGCAGCACCGATGCCTGTGGGCCCCATGGGTTGGGCTGTACCGGTTGGTCCCCTGGGCGGAAGGCGGCAAGGGAAAAGGATGCTTCTGCTGCACTGGCACAGTGTGAAATTTGAGGGAGTGGGGTGCCCCATCATACCATGATGGGAAAATGGAAGAGAGAAAACCTTAGTTAGGCCTTGCATTTCTTCGTATGTCAGTGGACTATGTTAGAGGATGTGTTGGCTTTAGTTCTTCTGAAATCCAATAGTGGGGTGATTTCCTCAGTGTTAGTGCATATTCTCTTGGTAACTGGTCCTGGAACTGATAATACTATTAAACTGACAGTGCACTCATGCTATAAAGTGAAGACATGAAATGCTTGAATCAAATTACAGGATTTTAAAAATAATTTGAATTCTACCAGTTACTAATATGTTGGCTAGGTGATCTAATGTAACTGTCATTTTATAGCTATTGAGAAGAATCTACAAATGTGGGAAGAAATGAAAAAAGGGAGCCAGTTTGGCCAGTCGTGTTGTTTGCGGGCAAAAATTGACATGAGCAGTAATAATGGCTGTATGAGGGATCCAACACTTTATCGCTGTAAAATTCAACCTCACCCAAGAACTGGAAATAAATACAAGTAAGTATATTTTTTCATCATGCTAGGTAACCTGTTATGATTTTTCTCTAATTTTCGCTGTAAACAATAAATGCAGACTTGTCAAGAGACTTTGTTCATTGGTGGATTATCTGGCGCTCAGCAAGACATGTGGACTCTTGAGCTGTTGACCCACCTGTCAGTTATAGCTTCATAGTGCTGCACTTTAACTAAACCATTGTACCACCAGGGAGGACCCCAAGATTGATAGAATTTTCTTTCCTTTAAATTCCTGCCCCCCCACTTCTATTATTTACTTTGTTATACTTTGAGGAAACCTAGTCCAAAATTATATTGAATAATCACATCTAAAGAGATTGGAAAATGTAAATTATTACCTGGTTAACTAATGTTTTCTTTAACTTTGTGGGTGTAGATCTGTGCCCATTCATAGGCTAGCACTGTGGATACATGTGCTCTTTATTTTTAACAAGATGGTTATTCTTTTTTTATTAAACAAATTTGGGAATGTGTATTTGGATACATATTTTCAATATCACATAATTGCAAAGCATAATTCTATGGTATCTTAATGAAGTATTAAAAAATTCAAAGGTGTAATGCAGTAAGATCAAGAACATATGGTTCATATGTACAGTGGAATATTACTCAGCAATCAAAAAAGATAAACTCATGCCATTTGCAGCATTGTGAATGGATCTTGAAGGGATCATGCTTAGTGAAATAAGTCAAAAAGAAAAAGAAAAATACTGATAGTTTCATTCACAGCAGGAGTGTAAGGGATGGGGTGTTGGGGGGGAGGTAGGAAGGCAATTGTAATAAAATAAAAACAAAATCAACAAACAACTATAAACCAGAGACATTCTGTAGGGGTGGAGAGGGAAATAGGATTAAAATGGGGGTGGGAAGGGCACATAAGGGCTATGTTGATGGCACAGGGGTGAAGTGGTAGTGGGAGGTCCACAGGTGATGGGAGGTCCATAGGGATTATAACTGAGATGAAAAAAATGTACATAATGAAAAACGATGTAATTATATATATATATGGATTTTTTTATAACAGTTTATTTTTACATCATTTTTTACATTTTTTTTTTCCATCTCAATTGTAATCCCTGCGGGTTTCCCATCACCAAGTCACCCATGTGCCATCACCATAATCCCGTGGACTTCCCTCCCCACCCCCCCGTTTTTGATCCCATTCCCCACTCCACCCCCGCAAAATGTCTCTGGTATATGGTTGTTCATATTTTTTTATTTTCTCGCCTGGTCCATTATACTCCTGCTATGAGTGAAACCATCCGGTATTTTTCTTTCTCTTTCTGGCTTATGTCACTAAGCATGATCTTTTCCAGCTTCATCCAAGTTGCTGCAAAAGACATGTGTTTCTCTTTTTTGGTTGCTGAGTAATAATCCATTGTGTATATGTACCACATCTTTTTTATCTTTTGGGCATTTGGGCTGTCCATGTTTTTCCAATTGTAAATAAAGCAGCAATAAACATGGGGATGCAGGTATCTTTTTCAATCAGTGTTTTTATGTCTTTTGGTAGAGATCTAGGAGTGGGATTGCTGGGTCGTAGGGAAGCTCCATGTTTAGCAGTTTGAGTAACCTCCAAACAGTTTTCCATAGTGGTTGTACTATATATAAATTTTTTTTTTTTTAAAGATTTATTTATTTGTACAGACAGAACTGGGGTACAGGCCAGAGGCTCAGGGGTGGCGAGAGGCTTCACCAGAGACAGAGCGGGGAACAGAACAGGCAGATCGACGAAGTACACTGCTGAGGGGAGCAGCGGGCGGGTCAGGGGAGGTCTGTCACACCATGTGGTCACCTCCGGGGAGGCGGGAATCGAACCCATGCAGAAGTGGCCCTAGATTCTCAGTGCTGTGCTTTAACCCGCTGCGCCACCAGGGAGGGCCCTATAAATTTTTTTTTAAGAAAAAAAAAAATAGATCAACTCTAAAAGGCAAAAAAAAAAAATTAAATTAAAATTGCAAGTAGATGACTGTTGTATACATTATTTTATACAGAAGTTGTTTTTAATTTATCCCACCTGGTGTGGAATTTTAATTAATTTGATAATTTTTCCTTTTTTATTTATCAGAGATTGCTTCCAACATGATAACATTGGCCACTACAGAAATATGATGGTAAAAATTGCTGTGTCTATTAAATTGCAAATTGACTTTTTTGTTTGAAAAGTGAATGGGCGATTCACTATCTCCAAAGACTGATAAAGTTTCAGTATACTTTGAGTATTATGAATCAGAAAGCCTGTAGGTTTTTAAGCAGTTTCTGACTTGTAAAGAATTAAATCAGCATTGCTCTTGCAATTCCTAATCTAAGACACGAAAAGATAAAATGCTTCATGTTGATTTCAAAATACTGTTTTTATTCCCTAGTGTTTACCCAACATATGACTTTGCCTGCCCCATAGTGGACAGCATTGAAGGTGTCACCCACGCCCTGAGAACGACAGAATACCACGACAGAGATGAGCAGTTCTATTGGATTATTGAAGCTTTAGGCATAAGGAAGCCGTATATTTGGGAATATAGTCGACTAAATCTCAACAATACAGTGCTGTCCAAACGAAAGCTCACATGGTTCGTCAATGAAGGCCTGGTTGATGGATGGTATGTTTATCGTTAACCTAGCATTGAGAGGCACTAAAGCCGGGGTTTACCAGTAAATTTTAAATTGCCTTTAGGACTAGGAAGGAAGCATGGAGGAGCTGGTGTGCATAGGGTTTCTGGGCCATGTCTTCATTTGGTCCAGTGAATCAGAATCAGAACCCCTTTTCCTTCCCCTGGTTTTAATGCTACAAGTGTGGCAAACCTGTTGTGGACCATGGCACATGGAGATGAGAGGCACATGAGGGCATGTGCTCTGCAGAGCTCGGAATTTCATAGCAGGGAGGTTGTGAATCTGGTTAGGCCCCAAGGTTTTTCTTTTTGGGTGGGTCCCAGGAAAGCCAAAGTGCCTTGGGTTAAGGTAAGACATAAATGAGTTTTGCTTTGGGGATGAAGATTCCCCACCTCATGGAGCAGTTACTAGAAGAAGTTTGAAAATATCCGGGCACATTAATAACTTAAATGGGATGTCACTGAGAAAGATGAGTCTTAAGCATTTTATTCTGTTCATTGTGGAGCTGCTTTTGAAAAAGGCAAATTTGTCTTAGTCCCCCTACAATGGAGGTGTTATAGACCTACTTAAAATTCTAGAGAAGTTTGCAAACCTCTGTAGAATATTAGTAGCTAACATACATATTATTTTACAACATTAAAGGCTTTCTATCAAGTGTGTATATGCATGGATGACACAAGACCTTTTTTTTTCTGATGGTCATGGTGCGGTATACAGCCAGGACCTTGGATGTCTGTTAAAGAGCACGTGAGAATGTTTCAGTGCAGACATTTTCTGTGTTTGAAAAGGTCACCTGTGCCTTTTCCCACCATGCAGTGCCTGCAGTGGTGCTTAGCCCCAGTAGGCACTTTGAATGCTGGGCAGTTTCCGCTCCTCTGAACGTGGGCTTGTTGGTGTTGTGATCTATCCAGTAAGGATAACTGGCTCTTAGTCAAAATACTTACCAAGCAGCATTTAAGTTGCAGTTGTATTCACGAAGACAGGTATGCATCTATGCATTAAGGAAATCTCCACCAGGTGCTTAAAAACACTTGCCTTTCCAGGGATGACCCCAGGTTTCCTACTGTCCGTGGTGTCCTGCGCAGAGGAATGACCGTTGAAGGACTGAAGCAGTTTATTGCTGCTCAGGTGAGGTAGTGTGTTTTTTTCTGGCTTCCTGAGTATTCAGGTGTCTCTTAAGATCCCTTTAGTCTTTACTGTTTCCATTGTTCTTTCTGTTCCTCCTTTATTTTTTAAAATGCAGGGGCAGATTTTTTTTTTTTTTAAGGAGTTATGTTTAGCACTGCTTATAATAGCAGGAAGTTGAGAATGTCTTCATCTCCTAAGCTGGAGGAAGACAAAAGCAGCTGCAATGCTTTTACCCACGGAACTAGGTTACTGTTGAGTCCACCTGTTCGGACACCCAAGTAGCTTGAATATCCTGGGTCTGTATTCCAGTGGGAGTAATCCTGCAAGTATTTGATTTTCTTTTTTCTAATTGTTTAGCTTAAAGAAAATACTCTAAGGAATACTTCTTGCCATTGAAGTCATTTTATTATTGTTTTTTTTAGGGCTCCTCACGCTCAGTTGTGAACATGGAATGGGACAAAATTTGGGCATTTAACAAAAAGGTGCGTGTTTTGAACTTCACCATCTTTTCTCATGCCTAGCTCCTGAGTGGTATAAATTACTGTAGAATTTATCAAGGTTTTCATGATAAAAACAGCTTGGTGAGGAATATTATATTTTGCAATCATCAGGAAAATGGAATGTTTTCCTTTTTAAAAACAGCATTAGCCTGTTAACTATACCAAACAAGTAACAGTGATGGAAACAAAAATTTGTCATTGTGGGGAATGGTAACAGATTTTTTCCTTAAATCTTTTTTTGAACTGTGCATTTCATTTTTCTGCTTTCAAGCTGCGAGCTCTCTGTAAGAAGGTATTATTTAATGCTTTTACTTGCCTTACTCAGCACATAGCTTTGAGCGTATTACTTGTTGTAACCTGAGATGTTATATAACTTTGAAGCACAATCACATTTACATAAAAGACTTATTAATACAAACCCTCTGAAAATGCATTATTCCTAGTGTTAAAAAACATGTCCTCTGGTTTCTTAGTGGCAAAGGGGAGATTTGTTTAACTTCATTTGGCTGTTCCCTATGTACTGAGAGGACGTAGCTTTTTGGTGACATATTTCATTGAGTTGTGCTGGAGGTTTGTTAATTATAATTCCTGTCTTTTGGAACTACCATTTTTTTTAAACTTCCTTAACTGAAAGTCATAGAGGAATACTGCATATTGACATTATTGATTATCAATTGGAAGCAGATGCTTAGACGCTATAATAAGGCAAATCATTCAAATGCCATGTTTTAAACTATAGTTCTGTGATTGTGTTCTATAAATTCTTTTTTGGTGTGCTTGAGTGTGCTCATGCCTTGCTTTAAGAAATAGCTGCTTGTTTCGCATGTGTCTTGAATTTATTTTATTTAGTCTTTTGTGTTTAGTCAGTTTTTTTGATACATAAAGGAATTACTAATTGGTTGTTTCTGTTGCTGCAGTTACTAATAAATAGAACTAGAATTTACAGGCAGAGTTTTCACTAGTGTCCTTTTCAGTATTAATACAAACTTTAAAGCTTTGAAGTTTAATAAAGCTACACATGCACAGTTTAAATGTATGAAATAGATTTCATACAGTCGCAGAGTTCTGTAGGGTCTGTCAAGATGAACGAACAGTATATTCCCCTTCCTTTCCTTCCATTTCAGTCTCCATGAAGAAATCACTTGTAGCTCTTATAAATGATTCTTTTGGTTGCCAGTATCTCTCAGTGAGAGCTAAGTGTGTAGTGTTGCTTCTTGAATTTTTAGGCATAATAATTTGACTTACTCCAATGGAAGGTGAGGACTTAGGTCTCTTTCTGGTAATTTGTTGATTTTCTTGTAGTTGATTGTTTTGTCCCACATACTATGTATGTTTAGTTTTCTCATTCTGTCTCATAATATCCACAAATTACCTGTCAAATGTTCACATGTCTCACATTGCCTGGACCTTCTTCACCACTCTGATCTGATCCATTAATCCTGAAATAAAGTTGTCTTCCCTGGGCATCTTCTGCATTATCCTGGGAATTCCCCTTGCTATAGTTGTGTAAAAGAGCATCTGGCTATTGGTTATTACTATTTTTTTTTTAACCTTCTTGTTTTGCTCTGCTGTTGCCTTTGATAGCTCCTGGAGAAGGTTAAAGGTTTTTAAAACCTATCAAAGGCAACAGCAGGAGCTATCAAAGGCAACAGCAGAGCAAAACAAGAAGGTTAAAAAAAAAAATAGTACATGACCTGGTTTTACTTGGGAGTGCTATGATGATGTGCTGTGATGTGAAACTGTCCCTCTTCATAGGTTTTGGAATAGGTTCTGGTCTAGAAAGTCATTTATTTCATTCTGGGATGTTTTCTAGAATATTTTTCTTTGTTTTTTACTACTGTGTTTTCTTATCTTGGAGCTCTTCTTGAGTAGAAATTGGGGTTCCTCTAATTTTTATTTTTCTCTTTATTTTCTATCTTTTTTTTTTTTTTAAAAAAAGATTTATTTATTTGTGCATACAGAACTGGGGTACAGGCCAGAGGCTCAGGGGCGGTGAGAGGCTTCACCAGAGACAGAGCAGGGAACAGAACAGGCAGATCGACGAAGTACACTGCTGAGGGGAGCAGCGGGCGGGTCAGGGGAGGTCTGCCACGCCACGTGGTCACCTCCAGGGCAGGCAGGAATTGAACTCATGCAGACGTGGCTTTAGATTCTCAGTGCTGTGCTTTAACCCACTGCGCCACCAGGGAGGGCCTATTTTCTATCTTTTAAGTCTTTTCTGGTAGATCTAATTATTTTCCTACCTGCTCTTCTGTTGAGTTTTTGCTTATATAGCCAAGATTGTTTTTTGCTTTCTGAATTTTCAAAATAATTTATTTCCTATTTAATGGTTACATTAATGTTAATAATGGTTTTGTTTTTTTCTTAGAGTCTGCTTCCTGTGTGTAGTTTATTTTGTTTTTTCTTTCATTGAAGGTGTTTCTTAGAAGTCTGGCTAGCCTTGGTTATCTGCTAATGTTGACTCAAAGGAACTAAACTGGTTGGGAGTTTTAAGAGAAAGAGTTGGACTTCTGAGTGAGATTCATTGTAGGATGCTTCTGTGGGTCAGTTAGGTGGAGCCACCTCCATGTGAGTGACTTTCTATCTTATTTCTTGGAATAGGCAGTTTTTCTGGAGTGAAGTGTAAAGAACTAGCTGTCAAGTCTGGAAACTAAGCAAGGCAAGGCAGCTGAGGCCTTCACAGCTTCTCTCACGCAGTTATGTAGCCACCTTTCCGTAACTGTTTCTGGTGTCCACCAGGCCCAGGCACCCTCTTTTTCATAAAGTAAACATTTTTTCTTTTGTGGTGGTCAGGGCTAGGCAGCTGCTTCCTTTGTTATTGTATGGAGCAGAGGTGGTGCCTCCATGGGCTCTAAGCTTCCAGAATTTACTGTCTCCTATTCCTTTAATCCTGGATTTGTGCCTTTAATAAAAACAAAACCATTTGCCTTTTTAGTGGCAGTGTGGGAGGGAATGAAAGCAGATGAGTCTTTTCATTTTGCTTTGTTTATTGCTGTATGTATGGGGGTGTTTCTTGTTCAGTACCATCCTGTAAACACAGCACAGTGAGGTATTGTGGTTGATTACACATTTGAAATCATTGTGGCATGATTTGTTTGTATTCCTGGCCTTTACCACATCTTCCTGTACCCTCTTCTATCCTTTCCCATGAACCTTGATCTCTTATTTAGAGTTCTTATCATTTTTAATCTCTAATTACTGCTGTGTTTTATTATACCTTGCTCTTTCTTTGCAAGTTCTGCAAATAATTTAAATGAAGCATTGGTGAACTGAAGTAAGTGCCATGGTGTTGTGAAGTTAGTGTAAGGATGGAGCCAAGCCTTCATCTTCGGATACTCTCCTCTTAGTGACTTGGCATGTTTTCAAAAGCCTCTGCTGCTGAAAGATGAGGGGATTAACTCCAGATTTACTGGGGCCCTTTAAGTACTTGTTCTTTTAGAGAAAGAATAAGGGACAGTAGGTGGTGGGATAGTTAATAATCTCAGAGTTGCTGTTAGCGATCTTTGTCATCTTTGCCTGACATCTTATCTTGGTAGGAAAAGAGGACAAAAAGAGGATGTAGTATTTTCCTATGGTAGGTGGAATGTGTCAGTTTCATAAAAATATCCACCTGATAGTAGTAGGAAATATTTCAGTAACTAGTTCAACATTAACTCACTGATTTTCTTCTTGCTTTTATATGTTAAGATTTAAACTTTTTAGTCAAGGCAAGCAAGACACATAGCTTTAAGTATTATTTCAGAACTTTTCTTTGCCTTCATCGATTTTATTTATTGCTTTAATTTTAATATTTATATTAGTATTTTAGTGGTATAAATATATAACATTATTTTTTCAACAACTCTAATCTCAACCCTCTGTACCTGCTCAGCTAGTAAGTTAGAGTATGCAGAGACCTCTTCCCCTGCCCTCCAAATAAGGCAAGTTTTCTTGCAAATGAAAATATTTGGACTAAACCTTAAATAAAAAGGTCTCTATTCTGTTTGAAATGTATTAATTGGGGTCTGGACTCCTCTCCAGTCCCATACCTGTCCCTCCATCTCTTCTTGGTTTCTATGAGGGCACTGCCTTGAAATCCTTAGGACTCTTTTTTTCTTTTATAAAGATTTATTTATTTATGCAGACAAGAACTGGGGTGCACAGCAGAGGTGCATGGGATGGGTAAAAGGAGTCATGCATGGGGTGGGGTGAGAGAGACAGAGACAGAGTGGGGAGCATACCAGGTAGATTAACTGAAATTCACTACTGAGGGGACAGTGGGCGAGTCATGAGAGGTCTGCATGCCGTGTAGGACACCTCCCTGGCTGGGAATCGAATTTGTACTGCAGTGGCAGTGGACAGCTACATGGTGCTCTGCTTTAACTTGTTGTGCCACCAGGGAGGGCCCCAGGAATCTTAAGAGTAATTTGAAAACCACTAATCCACAGATTTTTAGAATTATAAAATTTTAGAGCTGAAAGAAGTCTTTAAAATCTTTAAACCCAAGGTTTCCCACACATAACTGATTTTATCCATTAATCCTGTAGGATTAATGCATATGCCCACAGTATAACTGACCCATTTATGTCTTAATAATAGATTTCTAGACTTTTCTTCAGACCACTAGACTGATGGCTCCTTAGGCTTGAGTGATCTCCGAAGCTGTGTGAGCCATTTCCTGTCACATTGGTCAGGCGTAAGGAGCAGTCTTCTATGCTTGCTGCCAGTTGAGGAAACTGAGCTGTAGTGAGCTGAACTTTCTCAGTTTGAGAGTCTGATTTTCACTTCTGTAATGACGTTGTATCTCATTGGCTTAAACACAAATAAAACCCAATAGAAGCTAAAAAAAGGTACCTGTAAGCAGTAAGGAGGACCTTAAAACTCAAGGAAGGAAAGAGTGAAACAGAAAATTTAGAGAGAGGCGAGCGATGTTGAGTTTAGTAGTGACCTGAAATTTAAGTAGATGAGTGGCTAACTTCTATGAATCAGCTGTGAGGATTGATCCTTCTCTGAGCTCATTCACAATTTCCACAGTATTATCCTTTAAGAAGCCATAAAGTATTCTCAAAGCAAGCAAACAACAATGACAACCAAAAACCCACTACAGAACAAAAACAGTCAATTAGTCACTGCATCCTTTTCATGGGAAAAATTAACTTCTGTTACTTAACTATTTGAGTCGACGTTTGCTCTGTCCACATTTTCCCCCTGTGCTTCATTTGGTGTTTGCTGCTATTGAGATTGGTTATCATGGAGGATTTAAAATTGAACAGAGAAGTAAGAAAAATACATCAGATCCAGAATGGAGGCTTTGGAGGTAGAGTGGAGTAGGTTAGAACTTAGAATGTGACCTTTCAGTGAATCTGCACTTTCTTCTGATCAGCTGGATGTACCCGGCCCTTGGTGGACACTGAGTATACAGTGGCTACTGTGTATACAGTGTGCAGACATTAGAGAGATATCTTTATAGAATTGCCTTATTATAGTGACCTATGCTATTTTGCTTTTGATGGTGATGTGTTACCTGACACTGATTATTAAAGATCTATCCCTCCAAATTGGACTTCTTCAGCAACACAACATTGAATATCACATTTACCTGTAGGAATGCTACATAAATCCACAGTGTAATTTTTTTTCTCTCTAATACCAGTATTGAAAATTATTGCCAAAATATTTCTAATATTATGTGTTAAAAATTTGGTTCTTCTTACCTGTCAGTCCTTATACTCAAGAAGGAATTCTGACTCCATACTGTCTTCATTTATGATTCAAATCCTGTCTTCTACTTGACAGTTAAATCGTAGAGCAGAGTTAACAGGTAAACCAGAAAGAAAAAATAATTAGTAAATGCAGTAACAAAGAAAGCCAGCTAGTATTCCTGTGCTGTTATTTATCTTAAGGAATTTAGAAAAAGATCTCTGTTAACACGAGGATGTACTGATATACTTGTCGCAGGTTATTGATCCAGTGGCGCCACGGTTTGTTGCATTGCTGAAGAAAGAAGTGATCCCAGTGAGCATCCCTGAAGCTCGGGAGGAGATGAAAGAAGTAGCCAAACACCCAAAGGTACCCTTACTGTTTCACAAATGTTCTGTTAAAACAAGGAGCAGAGTGATAAAAGGGAAAATGTGCTTTGGTGGCAGTGGCATTGTTTAGGATCATGTCTTATCAAACAATATCTGTCAGAATTTGATACTAAGTGAAGTAAATATTTATGTGCATTTCATGCTGGAGAAATTCATTCCAGTGATGGTCCACAGCACGTCATGTAGGACTCTTACAATTAGTACCTATTTCTTATTCTGCAGAGATAGTGTTCCAGTGTGCATTAAGAATTTATCTTTTTTTGGAATCTTGTGGAAAGATAAGAATTTATAATTCTTCACATGGAAACTGAGGTCTCTCATTGACTAGATTTTTCACTAACTGTACCTTTATCTTTAAGACAAGCATTAGACTTATTGGTAGGGAAGCACAACTTGAATCCAGAGCCTGTCACACTGGCATTTACTCTGTTTTAGAAAATGTCAAGTGAAAATGTGATCTGTTTGCTTAACTGTTTTAAATGCAGGTTGCACAGGAAGTTCCTCTTAGGGACTGGTTGTCTTACATATGGCTCTGGTTGCCAGTACACGCTGATCCTTTTACTCTTGGGAGTTGTCTATAAATGTCTTCATTATATGATTAAGATAATGTTACTAGACTAGCTGATATACTAGTAGACTAATATACTTGTAACCTTATAATTATTATGTCCATAGACTCACATATAAATAAATAATATACATCATGAAAAGTTACAAATGCACAGTTATTGCCTGATATGTATGATGTATGCCATCTTTACTTTAAAGACTTGAGTTATTTTAAGGAAACCCTAATAAAATTTGTGGAGTGTGTGTGTGTTTGAGAGAGAGAGAGAGATTGATATTACTGTGGCTTTACCTTTATCTTACATCCAAATGGTTCTGGCATCTTGTATCACCCACTACAGTTAACGTAAAATAGAAGTTACTGAAAGTTTTAAAATTTGAACACTGAGAATAAAGCTTTATAAAATGCTTATTTTTTAAAATAACAGAAAGCTTAGGTAGCATTAATTCTACTTATTGTTAAATAAGAACTAATTAACTAGCAAATACACTTTAAGTGATAACTTTATTCCTCATTTTCTCTGTAACATTGATTTCAAATAATCTTTTTATACTTGCTTTAATTCCATCAAGCAAAAATTGAAATTTAGCAATCATTGTAGCTTTTTATGCTCCAAAACTTTTCCTTCTTTATATCATACATACTGACAAGGCAGAAAATTGCCCATCTTCACACATATACTACTGTCTTTAAGATATATCTTCCAAAATAGGAAGGTTTCACAATATTCCCTATGATGATGTCTGTTTTCTCTGATATTCTGCAGCCACTGATCAGGAAAGATGCTTTTCTTCTTTGCTGCAAAAGCAGTGGGGTTGAGATGACAGCACATCATCATCTGTGACACTGAGTGAAACAGAGGGACACTTAAGTGACCAACTATACTGCCTCTGCTATGAAAACAAAGGATGTTTATCATCAAACACCATTAGAATTATTGGTCAGGGGACTTACTCATGACTGTGATTCATATGCATACAGATAACTTCTGTTTGTGTAGGAATAAAATGAATGGATGTTTAAATTTGTTTTAACCAGTGCTCTCCTTCTTTCTTCCATCAGAATCCCGATGTTGGCTTGAAACCTATCTGGTATAGTCCTAAAATTTACATAGAAGGTGCTGATGCTGACACGTTGTCAGAGGGTGAAATGGTGACTTTTATAAACTGGGGCAACATCAACATCAACAAAATACACAAGTGAGAACTTTGTTTTCATAAATATGGAAGAAAAGTCTTGTGAACAAATAATTATAACCCATTTTTGTTACTGATTGGAAAATTGCTCAGTCATAGAATCTGTAGATCCTAGACACATAATGAAAGTTTTTCACACTTGTTCCAACTTAATGATCGGATGTAGGATCGCTTTTGCTCATGAAATTGAAAATTACTGCATCTAAGTACAAAAAATATTCTAATACTTTCAGGCCCTCTTTATCATCTAATTTTCATTATACAGTTACCTGATGGAGGGATCCTTTGGACAGAATTTTTGTTTATACATACTCTTTATCCTTACTTTTACTGTAAAATTGTTTCATGATGTGTAAACTTTTCAGTTAGGGTGGTTTGCTACAGTTACTGATGTGTTCTTAAGATTACATAGGTGGAACATAAAGAATTTTGGACATTAATTTAACATTTAAAACACAGGGAATTTTAAAATTTGTAAAAAAGCTTCATGCTTCATCAGATATATGTGGATCTGTCCTCCAGTGGGTCATTAGTAGCTTGATAGGATTATGTTTCATTCATCTTCTAATTAGAATATGAGTGACACATGTTAAAAGTACAAATTGAAATTTTTCCAAAGAAAGTTCCCTGTTGCTTTCAGAATAAAAAAAGTAGCATATTTATAGTGGTTATTTTATTTACTCACTTTTTAATCTTATATCCAGAAACGCGGATGGAAAAATTGTATCTCTTGATGCAAAACTGAATTTAGAAAACAAAGACTACAAGAAAACTACAAAGATCACGTGGCTGGCTGAGACCACACAGGCCCTTCCTATCCCGGCAATTTGTGTCACATATGAGCACTTGATCACAAAACCAGTGCTAGGAAAAGACGAGGACTTTAAGCAATATGTCAATAAGAACAGTAAGGTAATTTTCTCTAAGGACCCATGTCATTCCTGTTACATAAATTTTTCTTTAGAATTGTTAAAGTTAGCTGTAAGGCTTCATCCCCTCAAATATAAAATAGAAAGGGTTTTTTAGCATTTTGTTCAAATAATGTAGAAGAGTAACGTTCCTGTTTCACAGGGGATTTTGTATAGACAGAGACAAAGGGAGGTGGAGGCACTCATCTGAGGGCAGGTGCAAGTGGGGGGGAGCTGGGGTCCCAGTCAGCACACTGGTCCTGAGCCCTTGGGCTGTGGTGCTGGATGGGATGCCATTTGCTGGGTCCGTATGTGTTTCTAGCTTTGTATTTCATATTTATGGTTGGAAACTTGTATTTCTTGGGATGCTATTCAAGTTAAAGAGTTACCAAAGCCACTCATTTCATAAATGTTAACTTTCAAAATGGTAATTATAGTAGTATTTCTTTTTTTAAAGATTTATTTATTTGTGCATACAGAACTGGGGTACAGGCCAGAGTACTCAGGGGTGGCGAAAGACTTCACCAGAGACAGAGCGGGAAACAGAACAGGCAGATCGACGTAGTACACTGCTGAGGGGAGCAGCGGGCGGGTCAGGAGAGGTCTGCCGTGCCATGTGGTCTCCTCCAGGGCAGGCGGGAATCGAACTCATGTGGAAGTGGTTTCAGCTTCTTAGTGCAGTGCTTTAACCTGCTGTGCCACCAGGGAGGGCCTATAGTAGTATTTTTTTTTTTTTAAGATTTATTTATTTACTCATACAGAACTGGGGTACAGGCCAGAGGCTCAGGGGCGGTGAGAGGATTCACCAGAGACAGAGTGGGGAGCAGAACAGGCAGATCGACGAAGTACACTGCTGAGGGAAGCAGTGGGCGGGTCAGGAGAGGTCTGGCTCGCCATGTGGTCTCCTCCGGGGCAGGCTGCAGGCGGGAATCGAACTCATGCGGAAGTGGCTTCAGATTCTCAGTGCTGCGCTTTAACCCGCTGCGCCACCAGGGAGGGCCTATAGTAGTATTTTTAAGCACCGTTGTGTTGTATGTGATTAAGTGGTAGTTTCCAGTATATGTGTTTAAAATGTGAATATTCTAGCTACTGGGAGAATTACTTACATTTCTAACTTGTTTCCAGTTCTCTGATACGGAGAAAATGCATTTTATTCTTATTCAATATACAGCGTGAAGAACTAATGCTGGGGGATCCCTGCCTAAAGGATTTGAAGAAAGGAGACATTATACAACTCCAGAGAAGAGGATTCTTCATATGCGATCAGCCTTATGAACCTGTTAGGTAAATAAATTGGCAAATAAATATAACTGGAAATCTGAATGAAAATGCTTAAAATTTTTATAGTAAATAATTAAAAAAAAATTGAACTTTCACTAAAATACCATACTTGAGAATTTTCTAGCCAGTTTGAGTTCTGTGTTTTAAAGTTTCAGATCTTTACTTAGTGGTAACTTTAAAACATTGTAATATTACCAAGTTACTCATTTCTAAGACCAAACTGTCTTATAATTCATCTTTATGTTATCCAAGTATAAAGGAAAAAAATGCATTGTATGTTATCTTTGGGTAAAAGTTAAATTACCTCCTTTTCCTTTTCCTCTTTTTTTTTTTAAAGATTTATTTATTTATGCTTATAGAACTGGGGTATAGACCAGAGGTGCAGGGCTGTGAGAGGATTCACCATAGTCAGTGTGGAGCAGAACAGGCAGACTGACGAAGTACACTGCTGAGGGGAGCAACTGGTGAGACAGGAGTCTGCTTTGCAGTGTGGATCAGCTCACGGGCGGGCGAGGACCAAACCCTGAGGCTGACACAGCTAGCTTTCCAGTGCTGTGCTTTAACTATTGCACCACTAGGGAGAGCTCTTTCCCTTGTTTTTTAAAGAAAAAAATGCCAAAAGGTTTAATAATGACATGCATTTCTGCTGTGTACATGGGAGAGACCCAGCGAGTCTGTGGCTCCCAGATGGCCACAGTCACCACTTTAGATAACCTCGGCTAAGACAAAGGACGTTGGGGAATGAGGAGGAACATTGGCCATTATTATTTTTTTCTTTGTAGTATATTTTCTTTAGATATACTGTACAGTTATGTAGCCAATACATTTAAAGCAAAACAGCAAATGTTTGTGCCTTTCTTAATCAAGAAGTAATGCTATTATTAGGAAAATATTCAATCAAAATTTTTGTCTGTGTCCCTTTTTCATTTTGGTTTTCATTTTGGCCCTGTTATTCCATTTTATCCTAACTATGTATCAGACCTTGCTCCTGTGATCCAGATTTGTAAATCTGCTGCCTTATAAACATCTTTGAATAAGTACCTTTTAAGTGCCTCAAACTCATTATCTTAAAAGTTCTAAGATCCTTAGTATCCTTGCTATCCATTCTTCATTCCCCCATTGCAGCCATTGAGTCCTGTGGTTTCTGCTGCCAGTGCCGTCCATCTCTTTGTACCTACTGCTTTACTTTATTTCAAGCTCTTAGTATTTCATTTCTGATAGCCAAAGCAGTGTCTAGAGCGTTAGTTGCTGTTCCTCCGTTCTGTCCTAATCTACTTTTTAAATGGACACCAGTCCAGACATTTCAGAGTAACAATTTCATCAAGTTTCTTCCCTGTGTTAGATTCAGAATAAAACCTAAACATCACAGGTTGACATGTAATGGCCCTCTCTGTGCACCGGGGCTGTATCTATTGCACTTTACCTCCTGACCCCTTCTTCTCAAGATAGTGGGTTGGACTTGGCAGAGGCATCAAGTACTTTTGAATTTCTTGTCTTTCCCAGGAGTGGTCCTGATTCTTTTTCTTCATCTGATTAACCTTTCAAATGTTGACTTACTGTAGAACTTTTCTTGTCTTCAGTCTGGATAGGAACCTAGTCTCTTTGTACCCATAGAATCCAGCACTTTCCTTTTTTAATATTTATCAACCAAACTCTCTGTCCATCAGCCTACCCATCTGTCTAATTTTGTTCAATGAAATCAGGGCCCATAGTTTTTCTTAATCATTTTACGGTCATTACGTTAGTCATATAAGATCATGCATATAAACAGCCCAACACAGTGCCTGGTACTTATTAATTTTTCAGTGATGACGGTGGTACTGTCTATATATGTCTATAGTTATGACCAGAATAGAGGTTCTCAGTTTTATTCTCAAAGAAATTGTTGAACTTTACCACAAATGGAGTTGGATCAACTGGTTAGCCACATGCTGAAGTTGTACCCCAACCTTATAACACATATGTAAAAGTTGACTCAAATATGAATCAAAAACCTGAATATAAGTTAAAGCTATAAGACTCTTAGAGGAAAATATAAGTGTAAATCTTTGTAGCTTTAGTAATAGCTTCTTAAACATACAGAACACCTAATCCACAGATGTTTGAGGAAAATGGTATAAACTGGACTATATCAAAATGAAAAATATTTGTCCTTCAGAGGACACTTTAAAGAAAGTAAAAAGAAGCCACAGACTAGGGAGAAATCTTTGCACATTTACCTGTTAATTGACTTGTATCCAGAATAAACCTTATAATTCAGTAGTAAAAAGACAAAGGTAGACAAAGGATTTGTATGCCATTTCTCTAAAGCAGATGTACAATGATCAATGAACACATGAGAGGATCATGTGCTTCAAACATCACTACTTACTAGGGAGCTTCAAATCACAATGGGAAGTCACTTCATTACCACTAGGATGGCTGTAATCAAAAGGTTGACAATAAATAGGTATTGGCAGTGAACAGGAAATGGGACACTTCTACACTCCTGATAGGCTTAGGAAATGATGACGTCACTGGAAAACAGGCATTTCCTCAGAAGTTAGACATTTTACCCAGCAATTCCACTCCTACCTAAAATAGCAAATGCTTCCTCAAAAACTCATACCTGAGAGCATATAAAGGTGTTATTCATATTAGCTGAAAGGTGCCATCAATACAGATTTCCATCAGCTGATAAATGAATGGATTTTCAAAAAAGTATATCTATACACGGATATCATATTTAGCCATATAAAGGAAGAGGTATTGATTCATGCTACAACATGCAAGGCACTCAGTAAGAAAATCTGATCAAAGAGACCATATATTAAATGATTCTATTTGTAGAAAATGTCCATATTAGACAAGTCAATAGAAACAAAGTAGATGAGGGACAACCACTTCTTTATAAGAAGAATACTGGTCTGGGAAGTGATAAAGGTCACAAAGTTTCTTGTGGGGAATAATGTAAATGTTCTGAAATTAGATAGTATTGATGGCTTCACACTATCATATAGCCATTGAATTATGTAATTTCAGAGGTGAATTTTTTGGTACATGAATTATACCTCAATAAAGCTATTATTGAAAATTATCAAAGAGATATAAGATAATAGTGTGGGGTCCTCCCTTGTGTACAGCGGGTTAAAGCACAACACTGAGAAGCTAAAGCCACTTCAGCATGAGTTCAATCCCCACCCTGGACGTGATCCACTTGGCACGGCACACCTCTCCTGACCAGCCCACTGCTCCCCTCAGCAGTGTTCTTCCTTGATCTGCCTGTTCTCCTCCCCACTGTCTCTGGTGAAGCCTCTCACCACGCCTGCACCTCTGGCCTGAACCCCAGCTCTATATGTATAAATAAATAAATCTTTAAAAAAAAAAAAAAGATAGTATTGTACTGAATTCTTTCTCTTTTATTTACTTTGTGACTTCTACTAAAAATTGGAATGAGTCCTTTCTTTGGTTATGAGTAGCTTCCAAACAGAAGATTTTGTGAAATTTATATCCTTTGGGATTTAGGAATTTTTGTACTCTTATTGCACATTAGTTGTGTTATATGGATATATTTCCTTTAAGTCAGGATGAGACCATTTGTCTCCACTTATGGCATTTGTGGTGGCAGAAAAGGTAATCATGCTTTTGTCCTCGTACTAATGTGTGCATATCTATGAAAATTCATAAATTGGAAGTTCATAATTAGTATTGTCAATTTTTATTTATGTATTTATTGCTTTTAAACTATTGTGAAGAGCCACTGGTTTGGATAAGAGAACGGACTATTTACACTTTGAAAAGCATTGATACAGTGCCTTTGATTTAACCTGGGAACTCAATTTTAATTGTTATCCGGTAACTTTGTTCAAATAAAGTTTTCTGGTCCCGTTTTCTTTTTAGTCCATACAGTTGCAGAGAAGCCCCATGTGTTTTGATATACATTCCTGATGGGCATACAAAGGAAATGCCAACATCTGGGTCGAAGGAGAAGACCAAAGTAGAAACAAAAAATGAGGTAACTAGTGGTTTTTACAGAGATGTATTTAATCAGTGATTTTAAGCTGAGGGTTCTTTACAAATGGCGGTCTTTCTTACAGTTGAGACCAAGGAGGACAATGGACAGTTCCTACTTTGGAAGGTTCTGTTTTTATTGTTCTTTCATGTAAAAATTTAAAATATCTTGCAAGGTCCTTTTTTTTTTAAGATTTATTTATTTACGCACACAAGAACTGGCATATAGGCAGAGATGGGGGTCGGTGAGAAGCTTCACCAGAGACAGAGTGGGGAGCAGAACAGGTAGATTGACTACGCTCCTGAGGGGAACAGTGGACAACACAGGAAAGGTCTGCTCGCCATCTGCGTCACCTCCCTGGCAGGGGATTGAACTTGTGTTGCAGTGGCTATGGATAGCTTCATAGTGCTGTGCTTTAACCCATCATACCACAAGAGAGGATCCTTGCAAGGCCTTTAAAATTTCAATTTGTTATATGAAAACCAACAAACACTAGATTAAAGAATGTTTTTAGAGAAAAAAAATTTTGAGCAAATTGATCCACAGTCGATCTTTTTCTTTTCAATAGCTGGTCAGCTTTAGTCAGCAGCTTGATGTGGAGCTGAGTATATTGAGGACTGCCTACATATAGCTTCTCATGTACACATGGAACGAAAAGAGAAAACATACGTTGTACTGACAGTCAGGATAGTGACCTGGCTGTCTGGCCCCTGTGTTTACTTTTCTAGTACTTTTTCATCGAACCTCAGTGTGGTTGAGAGAGAGAAGGAACTGAGATCGCACAGTTAATGTGTGGTCACCAGTGGTCTACCCCACAGGAAGAGCGTCGTGATTCCTTTTAACTAGTCCCCTAACCATTTAGTTTACTTCTATTGGTTTTTATTAGGAAAATTTCTTAAGAATGGGAGTCATTTAAATTTTTTAAGGGATAAAGATTAAAAAATTAAAAATTCCACTGTTAACATGGTCAAGTTGATAAAGTTTTGTTGGAAGTTTTTTTTTTCTTAACTTTTTTTTTTATTGAGGGGGCACTGACATGAATTATTTTTCTTTCGTTTCTGTCTCTCTGTGGACAACTACTACTCCGAAGGAAAGGCCTGAGTCATCTTCAACTAACCTTGGTGCTACGTGTGAGGATTCCTTGGTTCTTTACAACCGAGTGGCTCTTCAAGGGGATGTGGTTCGAGAATTAAAAGCTAAGAAAGCAGCAAAAGAAGATATAGATGCAGCCGTCAAAGAGCTTTTGACTTTGAAAGCTGAATATAAGGAGAAAACTGGCCAGGAATATAAACCTGGGAGTCCTCCAGCTGCCGCAGCTCAGGACGCTCCTTGTAAACCATCAGCAAGTGCCCTGGATAGTAAATCTCTGTATGATGAAGTTGCTGCACAAGGGGAGGTGGTTCGTAAACTGAAAGCTGAAAAGGCCCCCAAGGTCAGTATGCTGGGGTGAAGCAAGCAGGACTTCACTGTGCGTGATCCTGTGTGTTCACTGCATGAGGAAACCTTATTGTGGGAGAGACTTTCTGGGCTTTTGCTTGGATATTTTGAGCTAGCAGCCATACTTAGTGATACTTGTGGGTATCAGCCTGTGGAAATAACTCTCAAGAAGCAGTTCATTAGATAGTGAGTGTGTCCAGGCTGAGAAGAGGCATGTACTCATCCTGTGTGATATGTGTAAATTGCTCTGAGAAGCATTTGTGGTTGTATGTGAGAGAAAAGAAACAATTCATGAAGGATGTATTTTGAATAACCCTGAAGTAGAAGCAACCTTTCATAGGAGAACATAATCAATAACTACACTTATTTTTAAGTGTAGTTCTGTGTTTCTCAAGTGTTAGTTTTCTTCAAAGTTACTGAAGCTCTTACTCAGCCCAGACTGCTGAGCCCACCTCTTGAGTTTCTGTATCACTGAGACTTGTAAAAGGATGACCATGTGATGTTGAGGATACTGGCTGGGCTCACACTGAGTACTGTAGTGTGGAAGTAGTTCCTGCTCAGGTGGAGATGTGTGAGGTTGTCAAGAGATTGTCGCCAGTGACAGTTTCAGACTCATCGTAGCAGAATCCTCCAATGCTACAATGCCTGATGTGTAAATTGTATTCTTGTCTCAGTGATATCTGCAGGTAAAAACATTTAGTCAGGTGGATTGGGCATCTGTGATACATATACAGGATTGCTTGCTGCATGAGACGAAGAATGGCCTCTGTGGTAGAGAAAGCTCATTTTTCATAATCAAATAGTCCACAGCTCTAAAACTTAACCAGACAACCAGTGGATGTAATTCAGCCCCTGATAGGCTACCATTTTTTTAGAATTTGGGCTATGGCATGAATGCTGAGAGGTAGGACAAACCAGTGGGCTTGACTTACATGATTGGAAAGCATTATTTTCTAGGATGTTTTCACGGGAGCTGATGTCTCATCAGTGCCCTGGGCTTTGAAGAGAGTTGAGTAACTTGAAGTTGCAAGTTTCTCATTTCCCTAACTTGTTTCTGGGAACCCTGACTGGAAACCCTCCCCCATGATACTTTATCACTTATGAACATTTGTCCTTTCCTGAGGAGAAACAATGCTGTGGGGTTTGTTTCAGCAGTTGGTAGTTTTCTGTTTCTCCATGAGAAAGGTGAGGTGTCTTTTATAAAATGAGCCTCCTGGAGTCCTGCAGAGCTGGACTATGTTCAGCTGCAGCTACGTCCAGGAATAAAGGCTGCCGATATATGGGGTTAGGACATAGATCTTTGGTATTTCCTACCCTGGCATGAAGTTGGGGTTCTTTTGCACACTGTGTATGTATTGGACACTATCTGGGGGCCCTTTTTTACATGTACTTTAGGAGGAAGGCTTTGGTCTTTCATTTGCTTCATTCTGAGTAGACTGCACTGAGGTTTTGTGCTGCTCTTGGCCTGTTTATTTTATGTGGGATAGCGGAGGCCTTGAGCATTGTCCTTGGCCCTATAGCCAAATACAGCTCCCTTCCCATGACGCTAACAGATTATATCTGCTCTCCTGTTCAAGTTATGTCAGCCTGTAGGGGAAAAAGACTAAACTTCTCTGGTAATCAGGCAGGCATTTACTAGGTGCTTTTTGGTCATGATAAATGTGATACTGAAATGACTGATTTCAGTTTAGTTTTACCAACATTTATTGAAAATCTATAATGTATCATACCTGCATTTCAAATATAACATGTTTTTTTTTCTTCATTTGCTAGCCATAGTAAGTAGTGCTGTCCTATTTTCTTAAGAAAAGTCATATACTGGGAATGGAAGCACATCTGGCACCTGTATTATGTAGGCAGTTACTATTTTGGCATTGAGTTCTCTCAGCAACCATGTCCAATAATACTCAAATAATGTTCCTCTTTTTTAATTTTTAGTTGTTGGTTTTAATGCAGGGGAAAACTACAAATATGAAAGTAACTCCTTAAAATTTGGAAAGCCTGGATTCCAATTTGTCTGCTTGCATGTGATTAACTGTAGTAAGCATTGCATCCTAAGCACTGCAACCACTAAGGTTTTATTACTTATCAGCAAGTATGTGCTTGTTTTGCATTAATAATTTGTCTAAACCTCTGAATCATTTAATTTCCTATAACAGTAGTTCTTTCACCTTTTTTCACCGAAAGTTGAGTTGCTCAGGCCAATTTGCAAAGTACAGTTCTTCCAACTTTAGATCAGTAAAGTTCCAGTTTTTAATCCTTTCTCCATGGAAATTTTTTCATCTAGTGACTGCAACAAAAATAGGTGTTTGAGAACTTTTCATTCTAAATGCAACTAGATTGGTGCTTTTGTATTTTGCTCTATTTTAATCATAGTTGGGAATTTTTTTACTCTTTATTTATTTATTTATTTATACAAGAACTGGGGTGTGAGCCAGGCAGTGAGAACATTTACCAGAGACAGTGTGGGGAGCAGAACAGGCAGATGTACTGACACACATTGCTGAGGGGAGCAGCGGGCAAAACAGAAGAGGTCTGCTCCGCCATGTGGGTCAGCTCCCTGACCAGCCCAGGGATTGAACTTGTGCTGCAAAGACTGGAGATAGCTTGATAGCACTGTCTTCTACCCCTGTGCCACCACAGGGAGGCCCTAATCATAGTTTTTTTTAGAATTTTTACTTTAAATTCTCATGTTAAACCTCCCACGTCTTGTATAGATTGTTTCTTTTCTCGTTGAGCTGCATCAACAGTTGAAGTAACTGAAAGCTTTTCATGTGTGTACTGGAATATTAGATAAGTTTAAAACAGTCTATATTCATTAAAAATTTGAGACTGTATTAGCAAGTGTTTTTGTGCTTTCCACATTGTATTATCTTGTCTTGAGTAGTATCATCCAATTTCCCCTTGTAAATTCTGTTTATTTCAGGAAACTGGAATATTCAGAGTTTTTTTCCTTTACCCAAAGAAACATTCAAGTAAGAGCCAAAGATTTCTTTGGAAAAAGCAATTTTCACAGCATGTTAGGAGGGTGAAATGAAATTTAGATTGTTGTTTCATACCTTCTGTAATGCTATGCTGATATGAGTGGTCGAATAGAGGCTGCAGAATAAATCTAGATTCAAATTCCTCCTTTACCCCTTCTTACATAACTTTGGGTAAGATACTTAACCTTTCTAAGCATTGCTTCTTCTATAAAAATGGGTAAGTATTGTTTTAAAGGTTAAATAAAATACTTATATGAAGTACTTAACATAGTGTCAACCCAGAGTAAATAAATCCTAAAATGGTAGTAATTTTGTTTTAATCAATCTATTTCTCTCAGAAATCTTGAGGGACCTCCTAAATGACCAGATAAGGCTACACAATAGAATAACTGGAAGATAGTCTAAATAGATTACTTAGTAGAATATTTACTTCCCATTTAATGGGGATATTTGTATATGTAATTTTATTCTACTGTTAGAATATCCCATTCAGTAATGAAGTGGTTCACTAATCTTAATTTTTTCCTTTAGAATATTTCAAACAGTAACCTTGTCAAACAGGCCTTCTTTTCTGTGTGAATTGTGTGCTGTCTGAATCAAATGCAATGAGCATCTTCTCCTGGGGTAAACTAGAGCTTCTTCTACAGAGGCCTCACTTTTAAAGAAAAGTTTGCAGCAAAGTCCTTTCACTATTTTACTGTAATCTTTTAGATGATTAACTGTCACTCTAGAAGTGGAGATATTTTCCTGTGAAAAGGTGTTTAATTCTACAGACAGGAGACAGTGTAGGAATACAAATCAGGTGCCCAAGTGACTGTCTTGGTGTGGTTTCGCTACTCACCTTTACTCCCCTGTTTGGTACCTGGTATGAGTCAATAGGCAGCAACACATGTCAGAAAGTGGTTGCACTGGGAAGCTGAAGGTGCACCAGTGCTTCCTGCAGTGCTTGGTGTTCTGCTTTCCTTGTTTTGTGGAACACTGTTGTAAATGTCGTACCGCAGCAATAAAGATTGGGAGAAATAATGTGGAGGCACTCTTTTTTCTCTGTTTGGATGGATGCTTTGACTTTCCCAAGGTTCATTGGCCCAGAGGTAGCCAGTAGCACCACTCTTAGTACCTATATATAATACAGCTCCCGGCTTTGCCAGTTTTACTGCCCTTATCAGGTGTCTTGGTTGGGTCGAGTGTTCCATTCTCTAATGATTATGTTGGATTATCAGAGGATAAAATAGGTGAGAAGTCATCAGTATACCTCCTCATTGCATTGTAAATGTTTCAATGAATGATGTAAGTATTCTTCAGTAGGGCCCAAACTACAGGCTTTTCCCAACGCTATATTAGTGTTGTTTACTATAAGCCACAGAAAATAAGACTTGTGTAGGCAAAGCTGTTTAACTGATCTTCATTCTGATTTTGTAAATTCTGATACCACTGTTTACAGATCCAGGGCTTGTACGCTGACAGTTTTCTTGGGTGTTCTATTATTTTATGTCTGTTTACCTATCTAAAATGGCAGTGCTAATTATGTATGTGTTCCTGTTTTTTACAATTTGTATATGGAAGGGTATTTATGGCTTATATTTTTAAACTTCTTTACCTTAGACCTCAATCAATGTTAGATTGATAAGTTAACTCCTTTGTTCTTGGATTTCTCAATGATGAATTTAAAGAAATACTTTGGTGGCAATTAGTGGTTCTTAAATTACATCTAAATATTCAGAAATCTGAGGAAGTATTAAATATTTATCTTGTTTTCTCTTGTATTTCAGGCTAAAGTAAGTGAAGCCGTAGAATGCTTACTCTCCTTAAAAGCTCAATATAAAGAAAAAACTGGGAAAGATTACATACCTGGTCAGCCCCCAGTGTCTCAAACTCCACCTTCAAGTCTAACCAACAACAACTCTAAGCCCGTTGGTCCGGAAACCCCAGAAGCCAAAGTGCTTTTTGACAAAGTAGCTTCTCAAGGAGAAGTAGTTCGAAAACTTAAAGCTGAAAAAGCCTCTAAGGTTAGTTTGGTATTGTCTGCTTTTTATTTTTCTGATCCTTTCTTTTAAAACACATTTTTATTACGTTGACATAGGTTTATACCATGTATGTTTGAGGTGTGCAGCATTATAATCTGACCTCTGCAGACACTGCATGTCCACCACCAAAATCTAGTTTTTGCCCATCACCCTGTAATTCACCCATTTACCCAGTTCATCTACCTTCTGGCCCTTTCTACTCTGATTACCACCAATCCGTTCTTGTATCTCAAGAGTTTTGTTTGCTTTGTTTCTTTATATTCTACATATGAGTGAACTCATAGGGTGTTGTCTTTCTCCATCTTCTTCACTTAACATCATCCACTGAAGGTCGATCTAGGTTTTCACAGATGGCGAGATTTCATCTTTTTTTTTTTTTTAAGATTTATTTGTGTATACAGAACTGGGGTACAGGCCACAGGCTCAGGGGCGGTGAGAGGATTCACCAGAGACAGAGTGGGGAGCAGATCGACGAAGTACACTGCTGAAGGGGGCAACGGGCGGGTCAGGAGAGGTCTGCAGTGCCATGTGGTCACCTCCGGGGCAGGCAGGAATCGAACTCATGCAGAAGCGAGCTTTAGCATCTCAGTGCAGTGCTTTAACCCGCTGCGCCACCAGGGAGGGCTGAGATTTCATCTTTTTATTTTCATAGCTGAGTAATACTTGATAGATACCACATCTTCTTTATTCAGTTATCCAGACTCTTAGATTGTTTATTTTCTCTCATAATTAAAGCTGTAATGAAATTCTTGATTTAGTGTTCTTTGGATAAATACCCAGAAATGGAATAACTGATATTTTAAAATTTTTGCAAAGCTTATATATTGTTTTCCATAGTGGTTGCACCAGTTTATATTCTCACCAGCAGTGAACATGAGTCTCTCTACTTCCTATCCAGCACTTGTTTCTGGTCTTTTTGATGATACCATTCTCACAGGTGTGAGATAATAGTTCATTGTATTATTTTGCATTTCTCTAATAGTAAAAGATGATGAGCATCTTTACCATACGATGCAGCAGTTCTAATCCTAGGAATCTACCCAAAGGAATCTACCCAAAACATTAATTCAAAAAAATACATGAACCCCTATATTTATCGCCACACTACTTAACAATAGATAAATACTGGACACAACCCAAATGCCCAAAAATAGATGACTAGATTAAGAAGATGTGGCATATATACATAATGTAGTACTATTTCGCAATCAAAAAAGATAAACTCATGCCGTTCACAACAGCATGGGACAGCAACATGAATGGAGATGGAAGGGATTATGCTCAGTGAAATAAGTCAGAAGGAAAAAGAAAACTATCAAATGGTTTCACTTATAGGAGGAATTTAAGAGAACCAAATAAAATGGGTGGGTGGGGGGGGGAGAGTGTATTTTTATTACAATACAAAAACAAACAAGTACAAACCAGACAGAGAGGGATCAGAAGGAGGGAAGAATGTGGGGAAGCTACAGGGATGATGGGGTGGGTAAGTAAACATTGATATAAAAAGAGCAATAATGTAAATAGACATATAAAAAAAAGATGATGAGCATCTTTTCTTATGCCTATCGGCCATCTATATGTGTTTTTTAAGAACTGTCGATTCAGATTATCTGCCCAATTTTCAGTTGAGTTTTGTTTTTGTTGTTGAGTTGTGGGAATTCTTTTTATGTTTTAGATATTAACCCTTTGTTAGATTTTTTTTTTTTGGGCAAATAATGTCTGTTCCAGTAGGTTGCTTTTTTGTTTTGATGATTTCTTTCTCTGTACTTATTTTTTATTTTACAGGCTAAACAGTTCTGTCCTTGTTGATCATACTCTTTTATTACTCCAGTCCTTATATATTTAACATTGTCTACTTGTACTTTGTGTTTTTCAAATCTGCTTTTAAACCTTTGGCCATTGTAGTTGTCCAACTATGCTTAGACAGTGATTTGAATCAAATGCTATCTTTTTTCCCTGTTTAATTATAGGATCAGGTAGATACTGCTGTACAAGAGCTCCTTCAGTTGAAATCACAGTACAAGTCTCTGACAGGAGTGGAGTATAAGCCTGTCTCTGCCACTGGGACTGAGGACAAAGATAAGAAGAAGAAGGAAAAAGAAAACAAATCTGAAAAGCAGAATAAATCACAGAAACAAAATGATGGCCAAAAGAAAGAGCCCTCTAAAAACCAAGGAAGTGGGCCGTCGTCAGGTGGATCAGGAGAAGGGCAGGGGCCTAAGAAACAGACCAGGTAAAGGAACATGAAGCCTTTAGTTGAAGTGAAGCGGAGTTTTGAATGAATTCAGCTCTTTTTATTTATTTATTTTTTAAAAAACAGAATTTGGTTTTTTTGTTTTTTTTTTTTTGACTATTGCATCTGAGAATGTTGAATCTATAATGCAAGGAGATAGCTTTAGTCAGTGAATTAACTAATTAAAATAGGTAAGCTTTCAGAACTTCAGGCTATAAAAAGATCAGTAACACTTATTTCCCATTTCCTCAGTTCTTCCCACCACTGCAGTGAGTTGGGTAACCCCTGTTTCTAGTTTCTTCTATATCTTTTGAGAGATTTTCCTTTTAATATACAAGTAAGTATAACTTGTATATTAAAAGTAAAAAAGAACATTTTTTTTTAAACTTTTCCTTTTAACACAGTTTGTAGACTAACTATACATATTTTGTACCTTAAACAGATTTTTCAAGTGAAAATCATGTATGGGTACTTAAATAGGAACATCATTTAACCTGTGTAGGTTACATGCCTCCTTGGTGGCTTTGGGGTTAAAGTCTCAGTGCTGCCACTTTGTAGGTTGAAGCTGCCTGAGTTCTATCCCCAGCCAGGGAGTTAACCCGCTAGCACAGCAGACCTCTCCTGTCCTGCCTGTTCTGCTCCCCACTCTTGTCACTGGTGAATCATCTCACTGCCTGCACCTCTGACCTATCCCCCAGTTCTTCAATGCAAAAATAAACAAAATCAATAAAAATCTTACAATAAAGAAACAATTCTTTAAAAAAAAAAAAGTAGGTTAAATGTAGAACAGCTGCTTTAAAGGTAAAGCAGTGCATCTTTCCCTCTCTGAATATTGTAATTTCTTACTTATAATTCCCATCTAACAATTACAGGAAATGTTGTGTGAGCTTTCTGTAATGATTTAATATAAGAAAAAGTTGGTTTTAAATTTGTTTCGCAGAATTTTATTTTCAATTATACATATATATATATATATATATATTTTTTGTTTGTTAAAGATTTATTTATTTGTACATACAGTACTGGGGTACAGGCCAGAGGCTCAGGGGCGGTGAGAGGCATCACCAGAGACAGAGTGGGGAGCAGAACAGGCAGATCCACGAAGTACACTGCTGAGGGGAGCAGCGGGCGGCTCAGGAGGGGTCTGCCACGCCATGTGGTCTCCTCTGGGGCAGGCGGGAATCAAACTCATGCGGAAGTGGCTTTAGCTTCTCAGTGCAGTGCTTTAACCCGCGCGCCACCAGGGAGGGCCTATATATATATATTTTTTTTTTTACATCATTGTTCATTTTTGTACAATATACACTTTTCTTCTCTCAGGTGTAGTCCCATATATATCCTACCACCAAGTCACCCATCACTATGGTCCCTTGTGTTCTTCTCTCCTGTTTTGATCCTTCTGCCTCTCCTACCCTTGCAGAATGTCTCTGACTTATAGTTGCCTGTTTAGCTGAATTTTAAATTCTTCTGATCAAGCACATCATGTAGTATCACCTTAAACAAGAAGAGGTAGCATTTTGTTGCTTGCCTGTTGATTGGGCCATCACATTTGCAGAATAGTGGAAGAGAATAGTGTCTCATCTTGTACATAAACTGTTTACGTAGAACCACATTTTCTATAGACATTTTGTTGAGATAGGTCAAAGTGAAACCAATGGAGAATGCAAACGCACATACATTAAGGTTGATGCTAATGAGGCCTCATTTTATAATGTCAGCAGAATGCACTTTTTTTTTTTAAGATTTATTTATTCATACAGAATTGGGGTACAGTCCAGAGATGCAGAGAGTGAGAGGATTCACCAGGGACAGAGTGGGGAGCAGAACAGGCAGATCCACGAAGTACACTGCTAAGGGGAGCAG